ATAAAATTCTGTACCAAATTTTGTCGCAATCGGTCCAGCTGTTTAAGAATGTATATAGAACTAACAGATAAATATATAACCATCATCACTAATAACACAGAACAATTAATAACCGCTTATAATAACCGGCACTAAAGCAACCATTAGTAGTATGTATTTGTATGTTCACAGCCAGCTTTTACGCGGTAAAAAAAATTGTTCAAGGGGAAATGTTCCACTCCGAGAACACCGATTTACCGCGTAACACAATACGGTGATTACACAAAATTGTCCGTCTATTTGCCTATTGATATACATATATGATATGTCTACTGTCTATATAATACCTATATATTATTAAAGGCAATGTATTACGGCGGTGATGTATTGTTTCCGGCTGCATTTTTACCGCCACCTCTGCAGTGTGTAAATACCTTAACAAAGCCTTAAATTACAAAATTACATATTTTAAATATTTATATAAAAATCTATCAAGTATCTATGTGTAGGCAGGTCTCAGCCTCTCAGGTTCTGTTATATTTTGTAGAGAGGCAAGTCATGCTGTACGGAATTGTGTTGGGTATATGGTATATTGATAAAATATTATAATAAAGTATAGATGAAAGCAAAATGGTTAAGGATAAACTAGGCATGGCAGTAAATAAAAATGAGAGTATTTCGATAGGAATACTTTACAATTATTGTCCTAATATATATAGTTATATACTTATGTAGTTATGCGGCTAGTAAGAATTTCGCATGTTGCGTTTTGACGTGTGAAACTTTTCATAAATTTAACGTGCGAAGCCGATGCATTTTTAATGCTAAAATTTGTTTCTGAGGAAAGCCTCTTACGCCTCTTTTTATAAAAAAGACTGATGACTTACAGCTCACATTGGACTCCGATTTTTATAGTAATTCTAATCATAAAATACATAGGAATCCGTAATAAACGTCTGAATATTTCATGACTTGTTTTTTTTTTAAATGTATATTTATTCGCTTATTGTGAAATTAATTTAATATTTGATTTCGATCAAAACTATATGAAAAGATTTTTGGTTTTTCGACTTGGCAATGGTGTGCTCAGCTTTTTTTGATATGTTCGACAGTTCGACTATTCTCAGACCATGCTAATAGCGGTGAACGTAAATATACTTTCATGATAGTTCTAATGTATTACACACCTTTTAATCGTTTTTTCAAATTTAGGTATTGAAAATGATGGTGAAATCAGAATTCAGCGATTGGGTTTGGTCTCGAAATTACAATGTTCTGAAGTTAACATCTTTTTGTGTAACGTGTTTAATAACATAAACATTATAGGTATAATATATACCTATAATTGATTATATAAGCTTAGGTTAGGTCATCTTTTAAGTTAGCTTAGGTTACACTCATCCAACCCCTCCCCGAAAAATGGACTATTTTTACTCCCTAAGAGTTGTAGTGGGGGCATTGAAACATATAGGACCTCGAGGTTGGTGAACGTAGCTTATATAGGTGTACTACACTTATTGTACTAAACAATTAATTAATATCACTATTGATTCATATATCTTATAAGTTTGATACTAACAGTCAATTTACCCAATATTTTTTATCCCTCCAAAAAAGGCGTTGTCTGGTAAAGTGGATAAGTTCCTTAAACCAATTATATCTTTGTGATTTGTAAATTGTAGCGAAACTGTGGGTGGACAAACACAAGAAATCGGACCACCGCGGCGGCGAACGGGTGATGTGCCTCCACGGGTATCAGGACAATTGCGCGTCATTCGACCATCTGATTCCCATGCTGGACGGCGACCGCACGTACTTGTGCKTCGACTGGCCGAACCACGGTGGCTCGTCAGGCACGCCGTTGGGCGCGCGGTGGACTATGGAAAACTATGCGCTCACCATCAGGCGCGTGGTCGACCACGTTCGGTGGTTGTCGCCGTTTGGGTGCCTCGGTCACAGTATGGGCGGACAGGTGGCCAAGTTGTTTGCCGCCGTTTACCCGGAATGCGTCGCGTGGCTCGTGTTGCTGGACACCGCCGGACCAGTGGCCGCGTATCCCGAGGAGATCACGTGGAGCGTGCGCCGAGCTGGCGACGAACTACTTAGACTCGAAGACAAATTAGTGCCGGCGTTGCAGACAAGCGACGGAGGCCGTCCACCGCCGGTGTACGATTACCCGGGGGCGTTGGAGCGCGTTAAAAGACGCCACTACGGTCAACTGGATGATGAGTCGGCCAGGACGTTGATGGCCCGGTACTTGCGGCCCGGGCCCACGGGCGAATTCCATTTGGCCAACGACGTGCGGCTAGGCGTRCCGTACAGCCAGTGGTTTTTGCCCGCACAGCACCGGGACGTGGTGACCAATGTCAGGTGTCCCACACTGCTGATCAGGGCGTCGGACAGCGACTTGTACTTTGCGGACGTGTATGGCGTCTTTGTGGAAATGTACAAAGAAAATCCAAATTTCCGTACGGTCGTGGTGGACGGAAATCACGACGTTCACATGAACAATCCGCGTGCGGTGGCGACGTTGATCAACAAATTTCTCAACTACAAATTTAGTAAATTATAATACGTATAAGGACAAACAGCGTGCCCATTATAGTGGCTCACAGGACAAATTAATTTGCCATGGGCGCATATAGGTACAATTATAAGGAGGGTCAAAATAAAAAATATCCCAAATATAAGGCTAGTCGCTGACTGGCAATTTTCAGTTGCGCAATAGTTTAATTGCATGGGTGACTTCCACAGTGATATGTGACAATCAGCTCACATGCAACTAATCAGTTTGACCAACTAATTAGTTTGTGTTTTGCCACAAATCGTTCGATTGCGTGATTACTATCGCGCAACTGGAAATTGCCAGTCAGCGACTAGCCTAAAATAGTAAAGATTTAATATTATTTTCACATAATATGAATGTAAATATGCATGTTATATTTGTATTGTCATATATGTTATATGTATATATAAATACAGTTGATAACAATTTAATTAGTATAGAAAAAAAATAGAAGATTAGAAGATCAAATAATCTAATATATTATTCCATATCGGTAAATAAGAACTGCAAATTTCTTCGTTTTATTCCAAACATATTAATGACATCCTGAATGAAAATATGATATTTTAACAAGGATATTTTAAATATTTTAAATATCCTTGTTTATGTTGGGTATAACACGATTGCGAACGAATGTTGCTTATCGATGAATTTTTTTTTTTTAGTCGAAAACCGAACGATTGCGAACGTTTTTTTAGGCTACGTTGCCAAGTTTATATTTCAATA